AACCCTTGCCCCACGGAGGGCAGTGATGGCAGCTTGTTGGCCACAGCAAAGGGGCAGCCAGGCCAGTGCCTCACAGTCCATGCACTGAGCATGTCTAGCACAGACAGTGCTGAAGACAACCCGCCTGTCCTAGGTGGCTTCTGCCAAGCATCCTCCTCTGTCTTCACTGCTCCTTAGGAGACAATCTATTCCTAGCCACTGTCGTATATAACTGTAGCATACTTGCACATCCTGTGTACAGCATTTAAATCTATTGTATAATTTAATCTATTTCTATATAGTGTATATAAAAGCTTGTCTTTATGAGGCACAGTGCCAACAGACAAAAGATGGCCAAGTGAACCTCTAAGTGTAGTTTTCCTGCCTGCAAACTCAGAGCAGATGACAAGTACTCTCTGCTCCTCGTGTTCGTCACCTATAACATTGTTGTCCCTCCAGCAGCCTCTCTCCCTAAAAGTCATCCTGAGGCAATACTCTGACATACTAAGAATTACATTGTTCATCTTAATTTGCCTGCTAAATTACCTTTGTTTAATCAAGAGGCTCCTCATGGCGCCTTACATAGTCTTTTAAGGCTGATTCACTGGAGGTGTAATTTTTTCCTATTTTTAATAAAATCACTCTCTTAGCCCTTTTGTTTAGTAATTAAATATAAAATGGTACTGAACCTACCTCATTTCTGGTAGACAGTTTCCCATCCTTCCACTGGATCTCTGCACCCTTGGGCAGCCAATCTTGGTGCAGTTTCCCTGCTTGGCTGTATTGTTTTCTGCACTAGCTGTGCTAAATAAAGCTTAGTGACCAAAGAGGCTCATTGTCTCTCACACCAAACGTGTATGCAGCACCCAGATACTGTGCACCAAAAAAACACCCCAAACCCTCTACCACAGACAAGCATGGACAAGTGGGGGTGGGAAAGGAAGAGGAGAGTTATGGGTGAGTGACGTGGCTTCCTGGGGTGTCAGGGCCAGCAAGGGTGTGCTGGTGACCTCCATGAAGTGACTAGCAGGTTGCAGCATGGACTCCCTCTAGGATCCCTCAACTCAAGTAGCAGCTTGGGGTGCTCTCAGCAAGAGGAAACCACATGCCTAGCCATCTTGGTTTTCTGAGAACTGTGTGGCAAACAATGGTAAAAAACAAACACTTGAAACAAACAGAACTGTGTGACAAACAGAATGGTAAAAAACAAACACTTGAAACCCCAACAGAGCATAGCTACTGAAGCTTTCCAACGTAATCTGGGTTTGCTTTCTCCTCTCCTTTTTGTCTTTTTTTTTTTTTTTTAAATCACTTTTTTCTTTCTTCTGAGCTACAAGGAAGGAGAAAAATAGAAGAACCCAAACTTTTCAGGGCTGATGGGAATAAGTATGTTTTAAGTATGTTTTAATTCACACATTGCAATTGCAGTATTGCTGAAAAAGAAAAGGCATCTCTGTAAGGCTTGAGCTGTCTGCAGCAATTTCATCAACACACAGAGATAAGAAGGATTAGGTGGTTGATCAGTTAGTTTCGCAACATGTGCATGTCTTCTGGAATGTAGTTTTGCAGGTAGATGTGCATGACCACAAGGTGCATTTTGTCCCCCCTCCTTTATTTGTCCGCTGCAGCTGGCAGCAGAGTGGTAGCAGAGGGAGTGAATCCAGTTTAGGAAGACATCATAGATCAAATACCTCCAAGTCAAATGTGACCAAGGATAAACAGCTGTGGCTGCATGCAAACTACCCTTGTGCCCTCTGATCTAAAACTTGTGCACAAACATGACACTTTCTCTGTAACGCTGCTGAAATGACTATCACCTGATCCTGCAGCATCTTTTGGCTACTGACTGCAGCTTGTGCCACAGCCCACCCTTATGCAGTGACATGGGCTGGAACACACACCAGTAGATGCATATACCATCTTTACCTCAGTGTACTGCAGCTCTCCAAATCCAGCCAAGATGCAAAGGGATTTGCCATACACATGCATTGTTTATGAACATGTTATAAAGTGCCAGACCTGTTCAATTGCATTTGGCAAGCTGCTTCCCATTAATGGTGCCTGCTACTAGTACCAATGGACCAAACTCCAAAGTCACTACAATTTAGAAGTGGATGAAACCATGTCCCTCTGTTTCATTCTCTTTACAGGCAATGCCTTGAAAGGTGGCACTAAATCCTGCTGACAAGGTAGGCAGTTACCCAGTTGTTAACCTTGGGTTGGATACTTGAAAAATTAATGTTTTAGACTGATGGTTGATAAAACAATGTTTTAGACTACAATAGTGCCTTAGTGGTTCCTATTGCCAGCGTTTTCCAGACATTCTAAATGTGATTTATTGACATCATTAGTCACTTGGGCTGTGTGGAAATGTGGTCATTTAATGACTCTGCAACTAATTCTTGTATCTCCTTTTTTGATTTACTGGGAACTAGAGAGACCAGCCAGCAGCAGAAGGGAAGGGAACAATGTGAATCACTGGGTTTTTCAAACAGTGGTTACATAACTATCTTGTGCCTAACTTATTCCCAAGCTTTCACTGGCTTTGGAAAGTGCCTGAAGCTAAGTCATGGTGTGCCATTATCAGAAACGAAGCTGGGAAAGCATGATATCTGACTGAGAAGCAAGGAGGAGGTCTTTAATCCACCAAAAGTCTATGCAAAGATGAGCAGATCAGGAACTGTCTGAATTAATGCCCTTAAAGATACACTCACAAAATTGAAATAAGTGGTGGGGTTAATGAGTAGACCTCACATTCCTGCCTGCCTTACGTTTCAAGTAAAGAATCAAATGCTGATGTTGGCTAGCCCCTAGAGGAAGGGGGATGTCAGAAGGAGGTGCTGCAGCAGTCAGATGCACAAGCAAATGCCCAAGCACATGGGCTCGGCAGGAGGCCCCAGCATGCCCCGGTTCCCTGTGGCATCAGGAGCTGCTGGGGAGAGGCAGAGCCTGTTAGGAGCGGCCAGCATACATGGTTCTTTATCACCAGGTAGCGATGCTGTAAATAATGTAAAGTCAACACATTTTTACAACTGCAATAGCCATGTCTGTCCTTTTTTTGGATGTTGCTAAGACAGAAGTTTTACTCTTTATTAAAAGGTGTTTGTTGTAGCAGCACCCAGGTTTTCAGGGTTGATTGGAAGGACTTTTAGAAGATTAGAGTGTTTCTGGCAGAAAATAAAATGTTTAAAGCTGACAAGAACATTTTCCATGAACAGAAAAAGACATCAACTGGGTTTGCATGTTTTAAATCGAGTGCAGTTCCTTTTGTGATCACTAAGTGGTGAGGTTTAGCCATGAGGACTTCATCAGCGGTGTCTGCAAGCTTGTGGAAAGATCTGTCAATATTCTTTTTCAAAATCGCAGCAGAGCTAAGGTGAGGACATCAGCAAAGCCTGGAATGAATCTTTGCATAGGTCACTCACATCCTGCTAGAAGGCTTTGCTGCAAAAGGACGTTGTTTCAGCAAATCTTCAATTTATTTATTTATCTATCTATCTATTTATTTATTTATTTTCACATTTGGAAGTTCTGAGAGGCTGACAATCAGAAATTAAATGTTAGCTTGTGAATCTCCATTTCAAGGCTGGCATTTTTCCCTCTGACTTGGTCTAGAGCCTGTTGGAGATATTTGCATTGCTCAATAGCTTTAAAATGGTTGGCAAACCCCACAAGAACCGTTTTTCATTGATTTCACATTTAGGTCAGGCCAGAATGTCCTTCCAGAAATCTTGCAGGAAAATGCAACTATGACAATAACACAAAGAAAGGAAAATGACGTGTGATACCACAAAGGGAAAAGACAATAGTATGGAGGAATTACTGACCTACTCAAAAGCACACCCGAATTGTCTCTTTAAGGGAATACTGATACTTAAGATGTCTCTATTTTCAGACTAATTAATTAATTGCCACTTGGAAGAGGAAAATTAACTGTGCATGTGTAAGCATATCTAAGAATTTTTTTTGTTATGTTATGATTTGGGCCCGTTGGCTTCCCCCAACCTATTTGCATGATTCAAGATTAATCTCTGTGGCAATTCGACTAGAAGAAAATATATTTAATGAAATCCTAGTTGTAAATCAGAAACATGAAATAAGTGTATGTTTGATTAACAAATGAGGTCTTGCAGGCTAGTTGCTCCACTGCGTGGTGTGTAAGCAGCCCGTGGGATGAGGGTTTTGTTGGTTTCAGCAACGTGATCACAGCCAACAGAAAAAGAGAAACACTGATGTAAAAATGACAAGGCAAAAAGGCACAAAAACAATGATTCAAAACTGCTGTGAGCTATTTTTCTGTCAGCTCAGGTGAGGGTGGAGAGGAAGGGGTTGTGCTTCCAGGATGGCAGCCCTGTCTTTTCCAGGGACCTGCAGAGATGGGGTAAACCTCAGTGGAGGAGAGGGGGAGGCTCTGTTTTTTCCCTGGAACAACGTATGACCTAGGACCTGGGTTGGGCACTTGGTTTTATCTGGTCTCCTTACCTGGAAAGAGAGTTTTGTTACAGCAGCATCAGCAGCTTCAGGGTCTCCACTGATTTACACATGGGGTGCAGACCCTTAACTGGGTCCTCTGATGGGGGCATTTGTATAACTCTTGGCAGCATGACTATTGAGCTCAGTTCTTTTCCCCGAGGTCAGGTCAGGGTGGCCTTTCCACCTGCCTCACAGATATTGGGTGCTCAGCCAGCTTAGAAATCTGGGCTTGTATTTAGGCACTTGCAAAAACACAACCTTACAGAAAAGGCATTTGTGAAAAACCCAGCTTCGTAACCCATTACCCCTGTCTGTCTAGCAGCCCAGCTGGGAAATCTTTGGTTTCCAGCTCTGTCACTTGTTGTCATGCCCTCCGAAATTTTTGTTATTCAGCGGAGTGCGGGAGAGGCACGAGCATTTTATGAGGTGCCTTTTACTGTATGTGTAGGGAGGGGAATGTCCCAAGAGTAAGAGCAAAGTGTATAAAAAAGAGGAAGCTATGCTCAATGGATCAGTCGCTCTCTCGTCTCGCTGAGCGCGCAGCTAAGATGATGGTAGCTTCTCTGCTCCTTTCCTGCATCTGGGCCTTTACATCAGGTAACTCTTTGACTATCTGTCTGTCTGTCTCGTTAATGTAACAGCATTAGGGACCCTGGTGACCCTGCCAGCCTGCTGCTGTGCTGCTAGGTACTGCAGTCCCCTCCTTTACATCCTCTGGGGCAAGCCCAGCAGTGACAGGGCACTTGTGGCGCTGCAGGGACTGCGCCACTCAAGCGGAGCTTCAGACGTGTCACTGCTGGTTGCATTGGTGGCATCCTCTAATTAATCTGCCACCACTGCATTTATAAGCTGCAGTCAAATGTATGAATTTATTGCAATTAGCAAATCATAAATGAGGCAATTGTCCAAATGTTCCTGATGACCCATATGACTGATGTTTGATTTCATCTCCTGCTGTGGCTGGGATTTGGGTCAGAGTATGGCACTGGTTTGCTTTAGTCAGGACAGAATTATTTCTAATGGTGGACATGGTGCTTGTAGGTATCTGCTCAGGCCACTAAAAGCATGTGTGTTTTATTTTTATTTTGTGTGTGTGTGTAATTACAAATCATGTAGAAAAGCCTGAATTTGTTTCAAACTAGTTTCCATGGTCATGGTTTGTATTTTGCCTACGGCACCACTGAGCTCTGAAAAGTAAAGTGACTGGCACAGCTTCACAGCTGACTTCTTGGTCTCTAGCAGAGATCTGCCTAGCCACGGCCACAGCCATGGAGGGGACAGGACCTGAGGGAGATTTGTTAGGCAGGTTAGCCAGTGTACTTCAGGCACTGTAGACAGCCTCACTCCCATTTAAAACCTGCAAAGGTATTTCGCTTGTTTGTAAGTTGAATTTTATGGTTTTGGTGCTGTAACTGTCGTGCTGATACCTCTCTTCCCATGCTGATGTACACAAGTAAACTTGAAAACCTATTACCCTGAGAGGACTGTGGAGCTGAGCTGTTAAACCTGGGAGCATCCATTTTGTTTGCTTGTCCCCTTAACAGTTTTTCCACATGTGTCTGTGAACTGTCAGAGGAGACTGATTTTTTTTCCCTGGAGGCCTTTAATATCATGGCATTTATGCTATGCAAGTTTCCTGTCTGGGGGCCTTCAGCAAGGTCTCAGCTGCTGCCCAGCTACATGGCCTGAAGCCTGAGATAGGCAGTTTGCCTGTAGTCCTCCCTGCCTTGCTTCTCCCATCTGGTTTTCTGTTCTCTTGTCAGTCTCTGACTAGTGTGGATGCACAATGTATAGTGATACACATAATAATTTTAGCAGCTTTACTGATTTACTTCTCTCTGTGCTGCAGGAGGGTTCAGAGAGCAGTAATGCACCGACGGCTGCTTGGTCATAGGTACATCTGAATGTTAAGGGGACATCTCCACACGTGCTGGTGGGCTAACAATCCTAGCAGATAGAAATCAGTTGCTCCTGACATCAGTGCTGCCTTTCTCAGCAGTGCTTTCTGCAGCACAGGTATCAGGCTGAAGAGATGCTTTGTGTGAGAGGTGTCAGGTCTGGCAAAGCTCTCAGGGCAGATATTTTGAGCTGCTTTTTCATTTCATTACTTGGGTGGAGGGTCAGAGAGACTGACAGAGACTCTGCTCAGGAGTGAGGGCAAGGGGTTGCGGGGGGCCTCTGCTGAGGTGCGATGCAGAATGGTGGTCAGAAATGCTGAGTGCTGCACCTGCTTCTCCCCCAGGCTCTGTGCAGGTGATGCACAGAAAGGTCCAGTCAGTTCGGGCAGGAGGAAACGTTACATTTTCGTGCCAGTCAGTCACAAAAGAAGATGTACTACAGGTGACCTGGCAGAAGGAGACAGATGGGGTTGAAGACAACATAGCAACTTACAGTGTGATGAACGGCCAAAAGATAGCAAAGGGCTATGTCGGCCACGTGAGCTTTGCCCACAGAGAGTTACAAGCCTCGGCCATCTCACTTCATGGAGTTACCCTCCAAGATGAAGGATGCTACAAGTGCATCTTCAACACATTCCCCCTGGGGGCTCTCACCGGCAGGATGTGTCTCAAGGTTTACGGTAAGGCATCATAATTGCTTATGGGCTGTCACCTGATGGGCAAGTTGTTTTCCTTGACCAAAAAACCTTCCCTGACTGCTAGTCACTGCTAAATTGCTGCGAGAAAGGTGGCTTAGCTTCCTGTGTAGTTTTACCTCTTTGGGAAAAACAACTGTTCAAACAGTTCTTTACTTTTCTTCCCCTTTAAGTCAACAACAGTGAGATCCAAAAGCTGACTTGTAACCCATGACTTCCTCCAAGTTTCCCTGGCTGTGTGCTGTGCTGGCAGCTGGCCTGCCACAACCATGAACCCCATGCTCCTCTACTTCTTTTCACTTCTGCTCTCACCTCTGAGGCCTGGAAATCAGGCACTTTCTTTTCTTACTCTGTCTTGGGTCTTAAAATAAAGAAAAGTATTCAAGAGGCAGAGAGGCATTTGCAGAGTATTTGGAAGCTCATTTTGAAGCCATAGTAAAAATTACAGTAGTTAAGTTGGGCTCAGGAAAGGGAAGCAAAAAAGAAAAGAGGGCTGAAATATAGAAACACAGCACAGTTCATGGGCTTTGCCATATGAATATCTTGTGCAGGTCAACATCAGTTAGCTTCAAGAAGGGCCATAAAACAAATCGTGAGTGAAGAGGGCAATATTTGGCACCTGCATATGATATTGTCAACTAGCAAGTACAAGCAGAAATATAAACAAATAGATGAACTCAAAAGCAACAAGACTGAAAAGTTTTTTATCTTTTGAGGAAGGGTCTTGGTTTTCTGCCAGTGAGAAAGCTGAGACATTAAACATGCCCTGAGGACACCCTGTTGGCTCCTGACCTTCTCATATGGAAAATATCAGTGTCTGGGACCTGATGCTGCTGGTATGACCCCTGCAGAGTATTTTGTTTATCCCTTGTACCTTCTCTTGACACAGACATGTATGTCCACACACATAGCCACGTGCCAGGAGTCCTGTGTGGGGAAAAAAGATGCCCCTGGCTTATAGGCAAAAGATGACTTAAACAATAAGGAAAGAAGGTGGATGGCAATACAAGGGAAAACCAAGTCTGGAACAAAAGTTCTTTTTCCTGCCTATTTGGAAAGCTCCTAGAGCAGAAAAGAGAAATTAGGAGAAATATTAACTCAATATTTCAGATATGAATAGGAAGGTGTTCCTAAAGACAACCAGCTCCGAGTCATACAGAGGGTAAACACTGGTTATAAATTACAAGAAAATATGGAAGTGCTTTGCAGAGGGATCCCATTCTTGTTTGTCATGTAAATCTAAACACAGAGTTAATTTGTTTGGTTTGGGTATGTGATTCATCCTTTAGCAGGGCACTACTTTTAAAAACAGATGTTTTTTCTGCTGCTACACACACTTGCATGAGCATCTCTTCCTGCTTCTCGGATGAAAACGCATCAGCTGAGATGGGTTTTACTTCTCTTGTGGGCAGGGGTGAGGTCACTGCTCCTGCTTCACCAGCATGGGCTACGTGGCACTGCCAGTGGCTGGCTAACGGGGGTCATGGAGGCCTCTCTGGAAGGTGCTTTAGAAAACATGTCCTGGAGGGTCACCATGAATAAAACAAGTTTTCAGCACTGTGACAGAAGATTTTGTTTCACATATGGTGTGTTTCATTGTAGCTAATTTATGTGATGCTACTTAAAAGCCACAGTCTTACTCCCTTATTCCCCAGCTTATAATGATGGGAACCACTTGCCCGGAGGACTTTTGTGGCAGAGGCTTTCTATGATTCTATGACTCCACAGGACAGAGTGTGAAAACCAAGACTCAGGGATTCAGGGTGAGATGAGCAAGCCAGAGTCACCAGCTGGAAATGAAATGCTGCCATGTCTTTGCCCTCAAGAGGGGACTACCAGGGAGTTTACAAGCTGGTAATTGCCCAATTACAACAGCCTTTTCAAGAAGGGCTGTTCCAGGATGGGCACCATTACTGCATGACAAGGGGAAGTGAAACTGCATAAGAACTGGATACAACATTGAAAAAAGAAACAGGTATGACTGGAGAAACCTCAGACCTGCCTGGCTGAAAACAGCAATCGGATGCAAAAGCAGAAATCTCCTACCCTGTAGCAAACCCCGTTTTGGAACAGAAGAGTTTCAAGTGTGCTTGGAGGGTCTCTTTTGAACAATCTGTTCCTCTTTCCCCTCTATTTTTGCTTTGGAAATGTTTTTGCCAACCTTCATCACCAAAGAGAATGATAATGAAACCCAGTTCAGGGATTGAGTGAGCATGGAGAGGATGACGTGCCACATAATAATGGACAAGACTTGCTGGGTCACAGAATTCCCTGGGGTATTTGCTGGGCTGTCTTCAGAGACCTTCTGCCCTCATTGTATGCACCATTCACCTGGAATTCTCGAGCACAGCGAAGAAATGCCATTGCTATTTCTTAGACAGGGGAAACGTTGGCACAGTGTTGCTGGCAAACACCCAGAGTTGCAAGATGCTTTCTGTCATCACGAGGCATACTGTAGTTTCTAAAAATTTTAATCAGTCTCTCCAAGACCACTGTTAAGCCATTAAAATAAAAAGAACACCATGGCCTGACAGTCCCCCTCCCTTTCGTTAAATAAGGTCATTACAGAAATTCAAAGCTGATGTACTTCACTAGAAAGTCCCTATTTCAAAATCTAGGGAACACTGCCACAGCTTGAATTTGGGAACGTTTGCATTACTGCTCTACAAGAGCTACTAAAGCAAATACTTGCACATCTCTTGTGGGTACTTTTTCACTGGAAACAAATATTTTGATGAAAGGCATATGAAGGAGTTAGTTGAAATGTATGCATCAAACACCAACAGTGGGCACATGCTAACCAGCGGTGTAGCAGGACATTACTGCAAAAGCAAGCACTACCAGGTTTTGACTGTGCATCTATCACAGACACTTACTAAGGGGAAACTCAACCCTACGTGATTTTTTTCACATGATTATCATTCCTTGGGGTCCAGTGTGAAAAGCGAAAGGACTGCTTAGTCAGAAGAAGAGCAGATGTGGAGTGCGTATGTTTCTGGCACTGAACAATTTTTCCCGTCCCTTCTGGGAACACCTGTAACAGCTTTCCTTTACAGGCTTTGAATATTGCAAAGAAATATTTGAAGTTACTGCTGTGGGTGGATATGTTATTTTTATGCATCTCGTGAGTGAAAGAAGAAGTTCAGAGGTCATTTATTAATCAAAACATAAAGTGTTTGTGACACTTGTCTTTTAATACATGGGAGATTTTGAGAAGTTCCAGCTGAAATCCCCCTATACATTTTTCTTGTTGCTCTCAGAGCAACACTAGTGAGTTTCATCAACTACGTCAGCTTGGGGGGTGGGGGGGGAGCGCATTGAGTTTCTGCCTATGGGTGATACAAAAAAATGAGAAATACCTACTCTTTTTTTTTCCCCAGGCAGGCACAACCATAGTAAATAAATAAGGTGTAGAGATAAAAAAGGGAAAGAAAAAAAAAAAGCAAAACTGATGGTGTACAGATGTCTTGCTTCCACCCTTTGCTACTCATGGCTTGGAGGATCCAGTCAACCTTGTGAGCTGCATTTGGAATTGTATCAGGAAGTTATAGGTGCCATTATGCATGTGGCACAAGCTTTTTCCTCCTTTTGAAGGATCATTCGGTGTCTGTTCATTCATATGCAAATCTTCATTTACCTCCCCAAAGGAAAAAGAGTAATTTTTTCCCAAGAAGAATAAACAGATCTATTTTGTTTGTTTGTTTAAAAGCAGGATCACTAAATGATAGTGATATGTTTGCTAGTCTTGGGACAAAAACGAATTTCAGCACAAATATTGCACTCACCATTGTTATTTTTGCTATGAAAATAGTAATATGAAGTACTACTACATATAGTGATAGATACTTCTTTATACAGAGGGCATTTATATTAACTCAGACTCGAATGAAACTAGAATCACCACTGCAGTTAAATGGTAAAAACCCCATAATACTCTCAAAACCAGGGACTTAGAAGTAGTGTGGCTTGGAACCCTCTGTTGTCAGCACATGCACTGAAGTAGAAGGCAGGCTAGTGAGCTTTCATACCTGTGGATTGCACTCCAAGATGGAGCTACATGCTTTTGTAGATTTTGACCTGAGCAACCTAAGAAAATGGCTTTGAGCAGGGGTTCGGATTAGATGGCCTCCAGAGGTCCTCTCTAACCTAAATTATGTTATGATTAAATGGCTGAGGAAAATTAGGTGATTTTCCACGGGGGATAGAGATGTACTTATGTGTTCAGATCTTCCCTGGAGTTCTACCCATTTTGAAAACAGCTTCCTGCACTCCTCCCTTTCTTTAGTCCTTGCAAATACAGTTGGTATGAATAGGAATCAGGAAGTGAGTAAGCATGAATGATGCCTATTGTTCATCCTTCTTGCTAGGACTAAATGTAACAGCATCCACGAATTTTCCAGGGTGAGAAGGAGTTCAGGAGAAATGATCATTAATGAAGGTTTTGAGGGATACCATGATGCGCCCAAAACCCGACAGTAGAGGGAAGAGAGTTGAACAAGCGTGAAACCTCCACAGGTGAAATCCTGTGATGTAACCACATACAACTTCACTGTTGCTGTCTTGCATAAGTAGATGCATCTAGTCTTTTTTTCCACATCTAAAACAGCAGTAAAGCTAATCCTGCAGATACATTTAAGGGAAAAGGACAAGAATTTTGGCTCACCGAAGCAGCTTAGCCCTTTCAGAGGGAGGAGGAGATGTGGTTTCATGGTTTCACTACCTGTTGCTTTTTACTTGTCCATAATCACCACTTCTCAGTTGGGATGCTGCAGTGCTGCTGTTAATAACAGAACTGAAACGCAGATGCTTCTACACTCTTGTCCTTTGCTTTGTCCAAGCTCTTCATTTCCAGACTGCTGCCTGATCACTTTCCTGTTTATTTGTCACAGCCAGAGCTTTGGGGAGGGGGAGGCAAGATTAGATATCAAGGTTTTCCACCAAGATAATGGTAAATACAAATGCTCTTTGCTCAGGTGTGAGCAGAAAGTAACGGATTTTGTCACTGTGTTTTACAGCCATCTCGGACCCCAGAGTGGAGGCTAAGCTTATACCCAGATCAGACAAAGCTGAGGACTCTGAGAAAGTGGTGGGGATGAGCTGCTCAGCAACAGGGAAACCAGCTCCAAAAATCACCTGGCACCTTCCCAGTGTCCTGCAGCAGAAACCAAGGGAGTACCACATCCAGCTTGGCAACCAGACAGTGACTGTCATCAGCAATTTCACCCACACCTACTCCAGAATCCTCCAGGAGTACCCCATCGCCTGCGAGATCCAACACCCCTCTCTAAATGTGACCCTGGTTCTGCCCACGGACAGCCTGGTGCAGGGTCAGTGTGTAACCCTGCTCCTGCCTGGGAGTGGGGAGGAAACCACAAAATACCTCCTGGGTTAGAGCAGGAAACTCATCAGAGGGTAATGGGCAGGTGGGAAAGGCACCTGGAAGAGCAGCGGGAACTGGCCTTGGGAGGGATGGAGGAGGTGCCGGGGAACATGCAGACACCCTGGGTGATGGCATACAATGTCTTACTGCCCATCGGGTCCCCTACATGCCTCAGCCTCTGTGCCCCTGCCAAGGACTTGCAGAGTTTCCCTATCATGTAGCCTGACACACGATCCACGTGCTGGCGTTGGGTAGCTCAGAGGGGCTGGGTGCCGCTCACCCAAAAATGGCATTAGACCCCAAGGACAGGTCTGCTGGCAGTGCCACTTGTGTGCATGCTGGTGTTTGCTCCAAGGGCCCCTGTCCACCTTGTCTCACTCCAGGGACTGGCCAAGGGATGTCTGAAATGGGTTTGGGGTTTTTTATGCACAAACTGAGTATCCGCTGTTTTCCCCACAGGTCCGGACAGCCCGGATAGCAGTGTGGCACCTGCCATTGTCATTGCAGTGGGAGTGCTGGTCCCCCTGGCTTCCCTCCTCCTTCTTGTCTGCCTCCTCCACCACTGCCTCAGGCACCTACGTGACCCAGAGGGAAACCCAGCCTGGCCATGCTGGGTAGGTCTGCCTTTCCCCAGGGTGCGGCTGGGCTCACCCCCACCAGTCACAGGGCTCGACACCAGGACCCAGCTCTGCTCAGCCACCCCAGGGCAGGCTGCATGCTGCACAGCCCAGGCTGCACCTGAATTGGAAAGAGACAAAGGGAATAGCCCCCAGCCAGACAGCTGGATAGCAGCATGCCAGGAAGGGGAAACCTGAAGGTGTTTAGCCAGGCCTATAGGTACCGAACTGTGATGACAACTGGAAATTGTCCACTTTCTCAATGACAAGGCGTGCTGTGAGGAAAGCATTGCTGTGTTACTATATTTATGCACAAAACAGTCGTGCAAGCAGTGGCCATACCCTTGCACCCTTCTTTTGCATCTCCTAAAATAACCTTCACCCTTGCATGGCCAGTGCAGCTTGTGAAGGAAGCAGGTTCAAGGGCACATCTCAAACAAAATGGGGTCTTAGAGGAAAACCATGCCTCTCTGAGGAAAGCCCAGGGTGCTGCACAGCGGCAGGGGCTGTGCTGCTCCTGATTGTCCTGATGCAAGGGGTGAAGGATGCAAGCTGAAGGTGGGGGTAAACCAAGTAAGGTGGCATCATTCCAGAAAATTCATCCCAGTTTTATGCTGTAGGCACCTCAGCCTCCTTGTGGGATATAGCCACAGGATGTACCCTGTCATCTGATGAAGGGTTTGGAGGAAAAAAAAAAGCAGTGGAAGGAAATGCAGTAGATGTCTTCAGTGGGCACCATGCCACTAGGTCCAAGCTAGAGACTACTGGGGGGGTTGCGAGGGGAAAACTTTAGGACCTCTTTGCTAACAAGGACCTCTTTGGTAACACACAGCCGAGATCTTTACCCCCACACTTAAAATATCCATACATTTTGAAGAAGGAAAATCTCCAACAACCTCTCTTCTGTTAGGTCCCTCCTGCCTGTAGCAAGGCCAAGAAGTGTGGGCAGTACAGAGCTGCAGGCAGGCAGGCTCCAGCAGTGCCCCCCCAGCCCTGGCACACCACTGAACGCCTGAGCAGCTGCTCGCCCTTCACATGCGAGAGAGGAACTTCTTCCAACAGAACCTCAGGCTTCCAAGCAAACCTGCCGTGACTCACTCCAAGAGGAATACAAAAAAGGACTATTTATAATAGCTATTTATTTTGTAACACTGTAATATTCTGTTTTGGAGGGGAAAAAAAGCTGTATTTATTTGAGACTCAGAATGGCTGCCTGGTTCTGCATATGAAACTCATGTTTTGTGTTTTCTGAGGATTTGAATGTTATGTTTATCCCTTTCCTTAACTTTGCAAGCTCAAAACTGGGTGGCGGGTTGCCTGAAACAGAGCAGCATTTTGTAGAGGTGCTGATGGGCCAAAGGAGAGCCCCAGCAGGAGCCAGGGTACAGAAAAACCTGTGGGGCAGCCCAGCATGCTGCTGTGAGCTTTAGGGTGATGAACCTGTTCCCTAAAGGGCATGAGTGATCAGGGCAAGACTGCAACCAGCCTGAACTTGTAACCCAGGCACCCAGAGAGACAGGCCTCCAGCCAGGCATGAGGAAATTGCCAACTCCAACTTCCACCAGCCTTTCCTAGAAAGTAATGTAAATAATGTAAAAGCAAAGGGCACATAGATATTTCCCCTCCCCACCCACCTTCTTTTTAATGTGGTTTCCACAACCCCCTTCTTAATACCCCTAATCCATCAGAGCTGTGTTCCCAGGCATCCCACCTGCCTGCAGGAAGTAGGAAAACGAGGAAGCAGGGAAATAAAAGGGCAGTTGGAGGGGCTGTAGTCAGTCTGGTGGGTTTTGTGTGTCGTGGTGTTGTGGAATGTGAGTGCAGTGAGAAGAAGAAGCCTGGCAGGAGTGTGGGGCTGGAGGTTGCATGTCGGAAGATATGCACTATCATAGGGGCCACAAGTACTGCTTATTGCTAAAATTCATTGCTTATAACTGATAGGTCAGATCTGAGCTGTTGTCTTGTAATTCCCTGAAACCCTATGCCCATGAAATCTTCCCTTGTAGATCCAGGAAGAAGAAATGAGGTTGCCCAGTTGCTGTGGTTTTGTGGGGAGCATTAAGGCAGACAGTGTTAGCTGCTTCCTCTCCTCTTGGCTTCCTGGAGTAAGCTCGTGTCATCTGGGTTTTCCTCACCCACCTATTTCGAAGGTGCAGCTCAGATGAATCAGGTTGAGTTGTAGTCAGAAACCCAAGTAACCTAAAATGAAAGTGACTGTGTAAGTTGAGAATGAGTAAGTCCTTGTCATTAAATGCCTTTTTAGGCTTCCTAATGCTTGGTAATAGCGCAGCTGGTGAATGTGTGGAAAAGGGAACTGGCTGCAACCATTGCAGTCAGGAATTTCTTTCCTAAGCCCCGTAATTGTCAAAGGAGGAAGCTGCACTTTGTCGAAGCTTTCCTGCCACTGCAGCTTAATTTCTTCCTCCTGCATGAGGGAAGGGACCAGGGGGGAAGCAAGATTTTTTCCCCCTAGGTTGGTGGCTTGTGGGGGACAGGATGCACATGAGAGGGCAAGGCTCATCCCCTGACACTGCTCCTGAACTGTGCAGCATCAGTCCTTACCACTCATCAGCACCCGCGCTTGCACTTCAGGGGGCATTTGGAGAGAACTGTTTGAGTTTTAAAAGAAGGTTTCCAATAATGCTCAAACTAATGCATCTTTTTTAAAAGAAGATGAGAGTCTCTGCACGAGGGTAATTAAAAGGATTTCCAGAGGGAAGAGAGAACGGCACAAAGCTGGTGAGAAACCTTTATAAACCCAGGAAGACTGCAGAGATTACCTGTTAATTTTTACAGTCTGAACACATGGAGCGAGGGAAAGCAGGGTTTTTTAGAATCTGTTTATGTGTGTGATTGTAATTTCTTTTACTATTTAGCTGAATGTTGAACTGTAAAAGCTTTTTTAGGTTTCTGCTTACGAGCACAATAGGACTAGAGGCCTAATGAAAGAACTTAAACATTATCACTTTGTCTTTGACAGCATCACAATGAGAACAACAAAACACATCCAAAGGCAGAACTCTTAAAACCAGTATGTTTTTTTACCTTCATGCTGTATAAAGCCAGCTACTAAAATGCAACACCATAAGTTGCTATATGGTAGTGCTGTGGAGTTTGGCTTCATGTAGCAATGAAAGGAATATAAGTATACAGGCTATGTAAAATTAACTGGCTGTTAGCTGGAAAATAGAGTATGAAATAGATACAAACCACCTTCCGGGGAACAAACAAGCTTAAGACTGAGGGGATCAGAAGTTTTTACTGAGGGTGAATAACGTCCTAACTACTGTTCTGAGGTTTCTTTGTGATTATCTTGTGCTTTTCCATCTAGTTATCTGTTAATTTGGCAGTTACTCTTTGGAGATTATATTTCAGTTGGATTTATACGTATACTTAGTACTTATTTTAATAAATAGCACCTGGGCTATGAAATGTTGCAAATTTTGAATAGGTCTTGAGTAGTAAAAATGAAACTGGTAAGAAATTGAAGTGGAATAGACTGCATTATTTTGCTGCTCCAATAGGAGTGATATGAAGCAGATAATTAACTTTGTAAGTAAATGGAAACAGAGCATATTTGCTAAGTTTACAGGAATATTCTGAGCTACTATTGCCACCACCAGGGATAAAAACCCTAACCACAAACAAACAAAACAACCAAACAAAAAAATCTTAGGTTTTTCCCTGTCTCATGTCTGGGCAGTGTTGGACTGACCCAGCCCTGTCTTCGGACACCTCTTGTCACTGCAGCTTGTCCAGCCCAGGGCAACAGTGGTGTTGATGCGGGGCATAATTTTACCCTAACAGATAGAAAGAGGGCAAGTGGGAATGCCACCCTCCTGCTTGCTTCTTACTTGGGTAAAACTGGCCCTGGGAAATTTGCTTTTCTCTGCAAGCCAAATAGGGTTATTTAGCCTGCACCTCTCAGCTCTGGGATCATTTGGTCTTGACATTAGCCAGCTTGTTTTAAGGTTTTAACTCATGTAGAACCTTAAGACAGTGTTCTCTTAAGCTGTATATTTTATAGATAGATATGTAACAAAGGGTCCTCAGGCTGTGTAATATGTCCAGGTCCCCGGTTTTGCACGCCCGGCTGTTTCAGAGATGTACCAAATACCACGTTAGTGGTTTTCTCTGCTGGGTACCAGGTTCCCAGCTCTAAGAGAACAGTAAAATGTAAAGGAATCGCCTCAGGAGCTCTTGCTGAAGATGTGTCTTTGAAATACAGCTGAAATGCTGCCCTTACATGTTTTACAAGTCAGTGGCTGAACCCAGTGCTGGCAGAGACATGGGTCTAAATTCACAAAGAGAAAAGGAACTTTGTTTTGGTGAGAGAAGATTGAAAGCATCATTCATTATTTCTTTGTTGCGCAACCCTGCGGAAATGATCCATCTACTAAATACCACACCAGTAGATTTTATTATGAATTTAGACATGGAAGAAAATACAACCTATTTTTTTCATTCAGCTTTCAGCACAAAGCCCCTGCCAATCAGCTGAAATAAGAGAATGTGCTAATTGGGTGCATTTTTCTTTTTTTTTCTTTTTTTTTCTCTTCCCCCCACCCCCCCCATAAATGAGCATATTGAACCAGGCAGACAAAAATCAAGCATATTCTTGTTTTCACTCTTGGTGTACCAGAAATTGCTCATATTTTGGAAGCCATACAAAGAGCCTTCTCACATCTCCAATGCTCTCATCTTTGCTCACATAAAGCTGTGTGTGAAAGGAGCACTGAACTCCTGTCCAAGCTCTTCGTAGATGGACTCTGCTGTAGTCTGCTCAGCTTTGGGGTTTTAGCTGCCTATTGGCTGAGTAAAAGGAAATATCTTTGTTACAGGTTTTTCTTTAAATTCCAGAACCTATACACAAAAAGGAGAAAAGGGGGAATGTCCTAGTATAGTTTTCTGAAGATCTTTGCCTATCTACTTAAGGGCATTAAAATTAGGCTGCCTCTTTTCTAGAAAGGATTTACTAATAGAACCAAGGTGTCAGT